TTTTTAGGAATTTTAATTCTTTTTTACTGAAACCATAAACAACATTATTCCCGTAAATGTCAAATATTTCGAAAATAGATATCATATTTTTCTGTTGATTGCCTTTTTATAAGAATGTTAAACTTTCCTAGCATTACTTCCAAATATTTGCCATCTAAGCCTATATATTAGGGACGTCTTGCTCTTTTTTAATTCTACTTCATATAGTTTCTCATTCATTCGTTATCATCTTTCAATAAATTTCCATCTTTTTTCTTCAGATTTCTCCCACTACTTCTGTCCCAACTCCAGTAACTTCTCCGCAGAAAACGGCGGATAATGGTGTTGATTTTGAAGAGGTAACCCCCATGTTTTGCTTTTTGTTGTTTTTTTATGGTACTTAATGAGTATCACCCTGCACGACATCCCCAAATCTACTGTAGTTATCTACTTTCAGTTCCGTGCAGCTTTATTGAGTGTAGTTGATCGAACTGATCCACGGGTAGATCTTACTGATTTCAAAATGATCGGTGAAGGATCAACGGGTATTGTGTTATCAGCGTATAAGGTAATAATTTTTACGTACAATGTTTCATTTCATTTCATTTTATATCATTTTTGTTATTTTTAGTTCTTTTTAATCTATTTTTGTTATTTTTAGCACTCACTAAAACATATTGTGGCTGTGAAACGAATGAATTTGAGGAAGCAACAGCGGCGTGAACTACTTTTCAATGAGGTGTGGTAATTTTCAGAATAATGTGAACCATTTACTGGTAACATGAAATAGTTACATTTCCTTCATTCATCTGCGCTTAGGCTCATTAAGCAACCATATTTGCCATTTTTTTTCGTCAGATTATCTGTTTTACTCTCCCTTTTCTAGGTATCAATAATGCGAGATTATCAACATGCGAATATTGTTCGCATGTTCTCCTCACATCTTGTTGGTGATGAATTATGGGTAGTGATGGAATTTATGGAAGGAGGATCCTTAACCGATATCGTCACGCAAACAAGGTTAGTTGATGACCATTTACGTTAACGATCTCAACTGCGTATTACCTAATGAATACGGGAATGAATAGAACGCATAGGGTTTTGCTGCATTTGTCATTACATTATGCCACTAGTCTTCCTACCGGTGCCAAATGCCCCTCTTTGAAAACCAAATATGGCATGATGTAATAGCACACGTGCAACGCTAAAATTTGCTGCGCACCAATTAGTTTCTTTTGACAAATGGAAATACATAATCATTCTATTCATATTAATGGATGAACTGGCGCTATCCTACAGTACCTAT